TCTTCTCATGCCTAGCTCTTTATGTGGGTTCTGGGATTCAAACTCAGGTCTTCATGTTTGTACCACAAGCACTCTTACATATTGAGCCATCTATCCATCCCTCATCCTTAGGTGTTTCTGGTTTGGTAGGACTAGAGCAGGACTAGTCAATCTGTGCCTTTAGACGCTTTATAATGTTTCTGAAGTTCAGATAGTGTTGCCCCTGAGTTTAGCACACTGCTTTAGAAAGGTAGCCAAGCAGCTTTTTTTTTTTTTTTTTTTTTTGTTAAATAGAACACTCTGTTACAAACTTTGGGTGTGTGCTGCCCTGGGGCTCCTTTACCTCATGCATGTACTTCCCATCCTGCTCACTCTGCATCCCATGGCATTTCCTCAGACTCCGCCTTTCTTCTCCCCAGCATTCTTTCTGCCCCCAAATCCTGCCTGGCCATCGGCCAAACAGCTTTTTATTCTTAACAATGTACAGAAGGATTTTACCACAGTAGAGTGATATTTAATTTCGATTCTCATTGGTTAAAGTACATTTATGACTAGAAGAAATACCATCAAGCTTACCTGTTTGATAGTATGGTGTCCCAGTATGCCAGGTTAAGCAGTTTGTATCAGGGGACAGGAGAAAAATGAAGATGTGAGAACTTGTGACACATACCACACAGTGGCCTCCACGGACTACGGAGGTGGAAGGACAACATAAAGTTTCCATGGAATTATTTAAAGGAATGGGAGAACAGGGCAGAGAAAGAACACAAGAGTACAAATCATTTGGAGAGTGAGTGGGGAAACTTGAGATGTTTTTGATTTCAGGAGTGCTTAGAGGGTTAAAAGTGACCACCAAGCTGGGAGTTTAAATAGTACATGAAATGTGGGCAGCTTCCACTGGAGCACATGCTCAAGTGGGCCTTTCTAGCTGCTGGCACTCTACTTTGACAAGTACGCCAAGGGTACCCACCAGGACTCTGCAGTACAGTGTCAGTTGTTATAGTAGGAAGGGAAGGGAAAGGTTATTGAATGAATGCTGGGTGCTTGCAGAAAGGCTAACACGTATTGATGGTAGTTTTGATATAGTAATATGGATGGACTTGACATTATTTCATTTTTAAAAATTCTGTGAGTGTTTATGTCACACGGAAGATGTTCTATTATAAAGGTGATTTTCACATGTCTGGAGTAACACACATTGACAGTTCTGATAATGCTGCTTCACTGCTGGGCGTTGGTGGCTCACACCTTTAATCCCAGCACTCGGGAGGCAGAGGCAGGCACTGTGAGTTCGAGGCCAGCCTGGTCTCCAGAGCAAGTGCCGGGATAGGCCCCAAAGCAACACAGAGAGGCCCCAAAAGTACACAGAAAAAACCCTTCTCGAAAAAAAAAAAAAAAAAAAAAAAAAAAAAAAAATGCCGCTTCACAAGCCAGCACTGATCTGAACAGAGGTATTGAGAATAAGGTAATTCAGTATTTGTTTTTTGAGACAGGGTTTCACTGTGTAACAACAGCCTTGGCTGTCCCAAAGTTCACTCTGTAGACCAGGCTGTCCTTGAACTCAAACAGATCGGCTTGCCTCTGCCTCCCAAGTTCTGCTACTAAAAGCATGTACCACCATTGCCCAGCAGTAAATCAAAGATATAAAAATTAACTTAATTATGAATTTAATTAAAATATGTATCGGGAAACCAAGGGTGGTGTCATACTACTATACTTCGAGCATTCAGGATCAGAAGCAGGAAGATGGTGAGTTCAAGACATGACTGTGCTACACAGTGAGACTCTATCTCAAAAAAAAAAAATGACAGTGAGACTTATATAACATTTCAAGTTGAATCTACCGTAGCTACCCTGAATATATGTTGTTACAGTTTCAAGATCTTTTTGAAAAATGCATGCTTTCCTTAACATTCACCACATCAGTTTTTGTGGCTGAATCCAGAGGCAGAATGCAAATGTGTGTGAATAAGGACCACGGAAAGCTGTACTTCCATGTCTCTAAGACCTTGTGTTGTCTGCACTCTTCCTACTGCACTGAACCATTTACCTTCTTTTTGAAGATTTATTTGTTCTTATTTTTATTATATCTGCATGAATGTTTCATCTAGATGCTTTTATGTGCACAATGTGGATGCCTGGTGCTTGCAGCAGATGCCCTGGAACAGGAGTTGCAGGAGTTGAAGTCTGGGTTGTCAGCCATCATGTGGTTTCTGGTAACTAAACTTGTGTCTACTGGAAAATGGCTGAGTCTTTTTTTCCAGCCCTAAGTACCATTTGCTTTTAATATTGTTGTTTTTGAGAATGCTAGTGGGAAGAACTATTTATTATGTGTAGGATGGTAACAACTATTTCTTTTTATATTCTAAATAAAGCCTAAAGCTTCAAAGCATTTTGTGTATCTTTTTTTATGTCTTTCCTTCACATTCCTTGGCCTGTAATTTATCTGAAATATAATGCTTCAAACATGTGATAGAGTTCTCTCTGACAGAAGTCCAGCCAGAGGACTGCCCATACAATGTGAGTCCTTCTCACTGAGGTTATGAGTGTATCAGCACTCCTCAGCCTTCTCTGCACCAACATAGACCACATACTGGATAAAACAAAGAAGAAAAACAATGAGAGTTAAAAAATTTGGTGTATGTATACATGTGAGTGGTATATACATGAGTGTGTAGAAGTCAGATGTCAGCATCAAGTGTCTTCCCCTGTCACTCTGTATGCTACAACTTGAGACACCATCTCTCATTGAACCTGGAGCTTGCCATTTCACTAGACTGACTGACCTAAGACTCCAGGTGTTCATTTTTATGCATTTGTACTGGCCTGTCCTTGGAGTTCTAATAGGATATACCCTCAGCTGCAGCCACTAAGAGCACCACCTGTGCCTATTCATTATGTCCCCTTTTAAAAGGGCCCTGTCCACCCCCCTGCACCTCTGTCTCTTTCCTCTCTATTGCTGTTCCCATCCCCGGCTGGTCTCTCCCCTCCCCTCCCATTTCCCCCTTTTAGGATTCTTTTCCCTTAATAAAAAAACCTCTCTGATTGAACTCTGTCATATGGCATCTTTTTCTCTCCCACCACTTTTTTTTTTTAAATTACAACACCAGGGACCCAGCATTTCCACCATATTAACATTGAATTCACTACCATGCTACTGCACCTGGATTTTTTAAAAAAATTTAAAACATTCTTCTCTCATTTTACATACCGACCCAGTTCCCACTCCCTCTCCTTCTCCTGAACTCCCACATTTCCCCCACCCCACCTCCAATCTACTCCTTAAGTCAGAGAGAGTAAGACTTCCCATAGGAAGTCAACAAAGTCTGGCATATCACTTCGAGGCAGGACGAAGGCCCTTCCCCCTATATCTAGGCTGAGTAACAGGCTGAGCAACAGTATCCCTCCAAAGAGAATGGGCTCCAAAAATCCAATTCAAGCACTAGGGATAAATCCTGGTCCCACTGCCAGTTGCCTCACAGACTGCCCAAATCACACAGCTGTCACCCACATTCAGAGGGCCTGATTTGGTCCTATGCAGGTTCCCCTGCAGTCTCTCCAGAGTCAGTGAGCTCTTACTAGCTCAGGACAGGGGTTTCTGTGACTATCCCTGAAATGGTCTTGACCCCTTTGCTCATAATGTCGCTCCTCCATCTCTTTGATTGGACTCTAGGAGCTCAGCCCAGTGCTTAGCTGTGGATCTCTGCATTGGGAGAATGGCTGGGGTGGGGGTGTAAGGGAGAAGGGGAAGGAGGAGGAGAATGGAGAACATGAGGGAACCGGGATGGTTGAGATGGGAGAAGGACAGAGAAGGAGAGCAAGGAAAGAGATATCTTGATAGAGGGAGCCCTTATGGGGCTATCGAGAAACCTAGCACTAAGGAAATTCCCAGGAATTCACAAGGATGACACCAGTTAACACCCTAAGCATTAGTGGAGAGGGTACCTGAACTGGCCTTCCCTGTAATTAGATTGATGACTACCTGAACTATCATCATAGAACCTTCATCCGGCAACTGATGGATACACCTGGATTGGTATGTGGGTTCTGGAGACCTCACCTCATGTTCTAATGCTTACATGGCAATCATATTATCAATTAGCCTATTGCCTCAGCCATTATTTTTTCAATAAAATGCCACTGATATGTAATAAATATTTTCAATAAAATGACACAAATATGTATTTGTAGGAGAACAAATTACAGCAGTTACATGTTATTCTGGTGTTTGTTCAAAGCTCCATCTTCCAGGTTCATCTGTGTACTCTATAGATAACTACTCCACCCCACCCCAGTTGTCACTTTCTACTTGACCATTCCATTTTACTTATTTTCTTTCTAGCATGGCTATATATCTCATATTAAGTTACACATTTGTTGACTTTTCCCGTTAGTGTGTAAGAGTGTGAAGCAGGGTTTTCGTCACTACTATTGGTATATCACCATTTCTGGGAACAATATGAAACTCCAGCAAGTATGTCAATTTTTATGAAATTAGTGAGCAGATAGAGAAGTGTGTTCTTCAGGACATCAAAAATAGTCAGAAGAATCAAGGTCTGTGTACTACAAATACCTAAATGGCTCACTAAGCTCTGTTTTCATAAAAACTCTGTGTGCCACTAAAAATGTTAATATACATTCATTTAGTAAAACAACTTTATGATGACTAATTAGTTCATTTCATTTTCTATGAAAAGAATCATAAAAGTGAAATGCTTTGTTACTTTAAGTCTACTTCCCACCTGTAGTTTCAGACCTATAGAAGTATTCAACTATTCCTATGAAACTCTTTAAATTTAAATCACATTTCAAATGATTGATGTTCTCTTAGAATTGTTTTATCATAAACAAGACAACTTAGAATTAAGCCATTTGTCAGAATGTTTGGATGGGCTTGCTTGTTTCTCTGGGGAGAGTCTCTGTGCGGAAACACAGATAGCGCCTGAGTCAGAACACTGACTCACCAACTTGTGGTGGTGTTTTGGGGTGGGTCTTTGTGATGACCAAGTTATACTCATTGTTTTTATTCTAAGTATTCTACTCAAAGATAATCTTTGTTATTTCCTTGAAGCTGAAGATCCTCAGTTGTTACCATACCTGTTAAACAAGTTTCTTTTTAATGGCATTATGCTACTATACCCACCCTTAAATTCTCAAATATCCTCGTAGCTAGCACATTTACCTGGGAACCATTATCTACGCATAAGGAGTTCAGAAGTTCCCTCTATATTAGCGCCAGCAATCACTGTTTCAGCACACTATGTATAGGTAAGTAGTAATTTTACCACCTAAAATTCTGACAAAATAGAATTTCTTCTCAATTTGAGCCCCACCTTAAGGACTGTGGCAAAATAATTGTGGTTAGATGGAGAATATATAGTGGTTCCATAGCATTTTGGAATTTCAGCTCAGAGACACATTGCCACAAACATGTATTTGTGTTTGCAATCTAAATTGTTAAGCAGTGATGGGAGGAGCACTTCAAAAAGGGGCATGTAGCCTAATATCCTGTCAATGGAAAATATGATGCCTGCATGACTGTTGTCTAGTAGAGAGGCAACAGCAGAGACATTTTCTTTTCTTGTGAGTTAAATATGAAGTAGTGGCTAGTAGAGACAGTGATCATGGACTCTTTGTATTTGTTTAATGGCTCATACTTCCTACAGTGCATACATGAATCTTATCTTGTATTTCATAGTACTACTTTATAGATGTTCTTTGTAAAGACATAAATGTGTATCTTACATATTTTTCTTAAATATATGTTATTAAATCTATATATTTAGGTAAAAACCAGCCCATGAGGCATATCTATATTGATAACATCCAGTGTTATTCTAGAGTGGATACAGTCACTGTGATAGAACATACTAAGAACATCTTTCTAGGCTTAAAGAATTTATGTGTGATTCTGTTTTATATTAAAGATGCTATTTTATTTATGACTTTAATTATTCTTGTTTTCCATACCTCTGATCTATCAATTAAAGAGCCATCAAGCAAATTTAAGCTTAAACAGTGCATTATGGTTGGATTTGTTTGCTTGTTTTGTGATTAGCTATCAACTTAACTCTGGGTGCATGATAGATTTTGTTTTGAGAGCATTTCATTCTTTCTCCATTACTAGTTTACATCTCTGTGAAGTCCTAAGTTAAAGAAAAAAGTAAAAGGGTTAAGCCACTGTTTGAAGAATTTTGAGATACCTAGGCAAGACTCAAGCTCTAATTCTGTAATCCACTTCTCAGAGTAAGACACTGAGGTAATTGCATTGCTGAGTTTGGGAGGATCAGGAGATGTGGTGAACTGTGCTCGAGATGTTAAGGAGGCTTTGGTGAGTTTTGGGGTGCATACAGGTGCTTGAATGTTGAACAGTTGCAGGTAGTGAAAGGAACACCAGGTATACACGTAGACTTCAGAACCAAATTCTACCATTTTCAATGTTTTCTTGGAGTTAGCCACAGGCTATACACTAGAAAAAAAGTCGGAATAATCTGTTCTAGAGTCTTGTGCACATGACAGTGAGAAGTTCATGCCCAGTGGTTCTAATAGTAAGATACATCTTATATTTCATATCATCCAGAAGTATCTCTTATAATAAGATTTTCCTAAAGAATATATGGTCGGCTATCAGAACCCTGCTAATCCTGGAAGGCTTTTTCTTTTGTGCTTGACAAGGCTCCTGTGACTGCTAGCAGCTATTTAATCATTTATGTTAGACTATAGTTTGTAATGTCTTTGGGTTATGTGTGAAAAGCAGCTAAAACTCAGAAGTAAAATCTGAACAGTGACATGAAATATTCAAGGCAGAACATAGATAGGGAATGAACCATAAAGCCCTGCATTCCTGTAGTAATTCCAGTGGATAAGATCATTGAGCAGGAAGTCCTTTCAAACTTCTCCTTTCAAACAAAAGGCTAAATGAACACTAAGAAATTTTGTCTGGCAAAAATTTAACAGAAGAAAATCTTTTATGTTTTTAGAATACAAGTTATAAAGACAAAAATTTAGAATATAAATAATAAAGACAAAATGAGATAGAAAATTTCAGTGTCTCCATAGTGTACAAAGACTTGATCTGAACTGTTTTCTAAACAAAACCAATCAAAAGAAGAAGCATGAATACCTAATTAAGAGACAATTAGAAAAGTGCTAATTTGTAAAAGTCCACGGAAGACAGACAAAGGATATGGAGTGAGGCTAGAACCCCTTCAGTGAGAAACACACTGGGGAAGCTGAGTGCTTGTGAGCTGACGTGAAATCTGAGGACAATTTTTTTTTTAAATGTATACAGCTGTCTGCCTGCATGCCAACAGAAGGCACTAGATCCCATTCAAGGTGGTTGTGAGCCACCATGTGGTTGCCGGGAGTTGAACTCAGGACCTCTGGAAGAACAGTCACTGCTCTTAACCGCTGAGCCATCTCTCCAGCCCCGAGGGCAATGTTTTAAATCAACCAGGAAACAGGCACATCTCTTCAGGGGCCCCAAGCATTAGGAAGGGAAAATTCAGGAAGCATATGAAAAACTTGTGACAACTTAACCACAGTTAGAGTGGAAACAAATATTTTACTTTGGATAGAGGAAGTCTAGTTTTTTGCAGCTCTTTCACATACAGATCCAGTTTTACAATCTCTATTCTCGATGCATGTAGATGCTTGCTAGGTTCCTCTCCACAGCTGTGGCTCCTCAGTTAATCATTAACATGACATATCTGATGTGTACTGGAAATCTGTAAGTCCTTCAAAATCCAGGCTTAAAAAACACATTTTTTTTTAATCCTCAAAGGATCTCCTCTAGGCTTTATTTTGCACTCCTATTTAAAACACATTTTTGATATCATCACCCAGGTTCCCATTGTTCTATTTCCATGGATTATGATAGTTTCTATTCTGGCTGACCTCTCCTGTCATTTTTCTCTTCTTTCAACTATGGTCATGCACACTTCCTCTTGGTGTTTTCCTTCCCAAGCACTGTATGTTCTCTTTTCTTTCATTTCTATTACATTTATTTATTTATTTATTTAGTGTGTGTGTGTGTGTGTATGTGTGTGTGTGTGTGTGTGTGTGTGTATGTGTGTGTGTGTGTGTGTGTGTGTGTGTGTGTGTGTGTATGTATGTATGTATGTATGTATGTATGTACCAGCACACACAGGCTTATGTGTGCATGCCATGATGTAAGTGAAGATTAGAGGACATCACAAAATGCTGTATTCTCCCCTTCCACCATGTGGGTTTCTGGGGTTAAACTCACCATGGGGTTCAGCTTCAAACATTTTTTTTTACTCACCAAGCTGCCTTGCTTACCTCTCTCCCCACTTTTCTTCCATGTCACTTATATATCTGCACCTAATTATGGGGAGTTTACAAAGTAATAAAGAAAAGTGTGTGTGTTTTCTGACATATTTTTTTGTGACCTTCATTTGCAGACCAGTCATAGCATCCCGCAAAACTTTTCCTCTGTGGGTAATCATCCTCGGTGTGCTTGGAGTGCTGGCAGTCCTTGGGGTAACTATTGGACTCTTAGTTCACTTTCTGGCAGTAGGTTTGTATACATTTGTATTCATTTCTTTTTGCTGTGTCTTTATTTTAATTTCTGTGAAATATAAAGAAGCAATTGCAACACATGAATTATCTCCCTCTATAGGAGCGTTGGGGACCTTGGGTCCTGCAAGAGAGCATCACTAGTGTTTGCAAATTTTGTAGTGCAGAAACACTTCACACATAAGATGCGAGAACATAAATTTAGACACAGATGAACAGATGACTGATAAACAAGAAAAATTATTCTACATGTTGTATACTGTTTCAGGGCTGACCTTTATGTATTGGATAAACAATAAAAGGGTTAACCTTTGAGAAAGGCTAATTCTCCCTCTCCCAACCATCATTAATTTTCTGCCTAGAGTTGGTGATCCATAAAATTTCCCCCTTGTTAACATGCTCATTGATACTGTGTCTTGCTTATGCACCATTTTCTTTCCTTTTATTGCAAATAGATTTTTCATACAATATATTTTGTTTATATTAGAAAACAAATGGACATCTAATGAATACTAATTAAAAAATAAAATAAAACAAACAATAAGAAAAAGAGCCAAAGAAAAAGTACAAAATGTGTAGATAGAAGCAAAGACACACATGTTCACAATGGAGAAATCCCATAAAAAGAACAGAAGTCATAATATATGTGTAAAATCTCTATAAGGTTAAAAAGACAAAGTCTTGACAACATTATGAGACAAGGAACCTCCAAAGATGCTGTTGAGTTCATTTTGTGTTAGCCATCTACTGCTGGGCCTACCCTTAAGAATGATGTCTCCCCAGTGATAGTCCTTTGGAGGAAACTAAATTTTCAGTTGCAATTGGAGATAGCTTCTGGGTTAGAAGCATGTGTCCACTTCTCCTTTCATCTCTAGGACCCCATCTGATGTAGACCTGTATGCAGCCATTTCTAAGATGTTTCACAGTAAACCTCCTGATGTGCTGGCTCTTACAACCTTTCCATACTCTATTCCGTGATATTCCCTGAGCCATAGATGCTGGAGCTGTGATATAGGTGTATACATTTAAGCCAGCCTTTCTGTGATCTTTTGATCTCTTCGGTTTATCCAATTGTGCTTTTTCTGTGATGATCTCCATTACCTGCAAAGGGAAGCTTCTTTGATGGGAAATGAGGGCAGTCATAGCTATGCTGGTCTGGTGTCTGTGGGTGCCCTATGTTGTATACTCACATCTGCAGATTTGGAGCCAGGTACTGCAGATGAGAGAGGACAAACAGCCTTTTGTTTTCCTGGGTTTGTCTAGGTTACCTCACTCAATATATTTCCTAGCTCTATCCTTTTATCTGAAAATTTCACACTCTGATTTTTATTTACAGCTGAATACTATTCCATTGTGCACATGTCCCACATTTTCATTATCCATTCATCTGTTGAAGGACAGTTAGGTTATTTCCATTTCCTAGCTATTGTGAATACAGTGGTGAACCCTGCTGTGCAAATTTCTGTGGAGTAGGATGCCAAGTCCTTTGGGCATATGCCAAGGAGCGGTCAAGCTGGGTCATGTGGTAGATTAATTTTTAGTTTTTGAGGACTTTCTTTACTGATTTCCAGAGTTACTGGTCCAATTTTCATTCCCATCAACAGTGAATGGAAGTTCCATTTCCTTTACAGCCTCACCAGCATTTGTTGCCTGTTATTTTGAGGGTCTTTACTATTCTTACTGGGGATTGTCCTTTCAAAATAGCAAATGTCTTTTGACATTATTCATATTATATATAAGGTGGATATATTGTAAATGGGAGTTTCTCTCCCACCTGGTCCCACAGCCATTTAGTCCCAAATAAACACACAGAGGCTTCTATTAATTGTAAACTGTTTGGCCAATAGCTTAGGCTTCTTATTGGCTAGATCTGTCTTAATTATTAACCCATTTCTATGAATCTGTGTATTTCCACATAGCCTTGGTTTATTTATTAGTGATGTCTAACCTCTTGCTTCCTCTGCAGCTATATGTTGTCTTGCCTGAGACTCACTCTCTCCATTCCTCTTCCCAAAGTTCTCCTAGTCTGGTAGCCCTGGCTATTCTTCCTGTCTGGCTACATCCTGCCTGTCCATTGACTAAAACAGCTTTGTTTTCATAAACCAATAAGAGAGACATTTATTTAGAGCATACAGAAGGACAGTATATATATATATATATTCTGTGTGACAATTGAGGAATGGAATATAATATGTTGATTGTAGGCCTTGGAGGCAGATGATTGAGATTTTATCCTTGACTCTTTTTAATAGATATATAGCATTATGCAAATTACCTAATTGCTGTGAGACTGTATTTCCCTTGAAAACTTAGTGTGCTTCTTAAGATTTTTCTGTAGTATCATCTAGTAGTAATACTTAATGAATGATAAATTTTAAATTCTATGATATGTAACCAGTTGGTTACACTAAACAGAACCCACTATAGTATATTGTTATTTCTGTCTCAATCAAGACCCTACTATTACAGCTGGGGAGATTACTCAGTGGGTAAGGAACTTGCATCCCATATGAGGACTGGGGTTCAGACTTCAGAACCCAAGTAAATCCAGGTCCAGTAGTGCACATCTGTAACCACGGTACTTATGTGGAAAGATAGGAGGTAGATACAAGAGAACCTTTGGAAGCTTACAAGCTAGCTAGCCAGGCAAACACAGTAGCAAACAAGAGAGACCCTGTCTCAAACAATGTAGAAGTAAGGAGATGTCCTTTGACTTTCACACATGTGCAGTGACACTTGCATGCCACAACTCATACACACAAACATGCACACACAGGTGTACATCATACACACAAATAATTCATGTGTGTGCATACAGAGATTAAAAATGTTATTCTTTATAATGTTCTCTATCATCTGTCTTCTATTATTGGTTTCAAAATGACTTTCTAAAAATACAGAGGTTGTCTCCTTAGTAGTTCCAGAAATATTCACAAGGGACTATCAATATCTAGTGAGCACAGTGCATCCTGCTTTGTTTTGCTATGCAATCTGTGTCTTGATTTAAAGTATGTTTAATTTAAATAGTTCTTGGATAATTTTTTGTCTCACAGAAAACAAGATCTACTACTATCAAGGTAGTTTTAAAGTATTGAATATTCCATATGACAGAAATTATGAGAGGGAGACATCACCAGAAAGTAACCATCTCAGTAAAATCCTCGAGACTAAAGTAAGTTAGATTTTCCTGTATTTGCTAACTACTTGAATATAAACATATTACTGAAGTTTGATGTTTAACTCTATGATGTCTCTTAACAGATGGTTGATGCCTTTCAAAATTCTAATATTTACAGACAGTATATCAACTCTCAGATCATCACATTGGTGTAAGTGACTATCATTAATCATCAGGAAAAGGGATAAAGCCATTATACCTATTACTATACTTCAAGTGTTCCAGGGAAGACGAATCTAAAATCTTCTTATGTGTCACAACCATTGCCAACAATGATTAAATATCAACATTACCGTACCTATCAGCATTGTTCAACAGAAAACCAAAGCAAACATTGAACTTATATGGTGGAGGTTATTAGGTTTAAGGGAATATATTTGTGTTTAAATTACATTTGACTTATCCTCATTTCTGAAGCATTTGCATCAAGAAACCATTAGATGGTCCATAAGTCAAATGTTTGATACCCTATTTTTTATTAATGTTTATCAGAAATATAGATTTTATTTTCTCTTGTCTTTCTATTTGACAGTCAGCCAAATGTCATTTGAAGTGTTCTTACGGTTCTTCCTAAGTGGGATAGAATAAATCACATTTACACCAGGCTTTGATGTCACAAAAGGCTTCCACACACAGCAAAAAAAAATGATGTTTGCCCTGAACATGGGTTTAGAATAGCAAAGAGTAGCAGAGAGAGCAGTAGAATAGGCACTGGATAACTTGAGCCCAGATTTTATGACTTAATAGCCCCAGAGCCTCAAGAGAGTCACATTACCATGTGAGACTCTCTCTGTCTAATGAAATATCAATGCCAACAGATTTCTTGTCTTCTTCATCGACCAGGATGCAAAATAAAAAGATAATGTGTGTAGAAATATTTGAAAATAAACACATTTCAAATGAATGTCAACATTGTTTTTACCTTGATCAATGCCACTAATGTCTACCTTTGTTCTCTCATTCCTGGACTAATATGACTCCCAGAATTGCAGGATAGATTGAGGCTCCCATTAACATTAACCGTGGATTAATTTTTACTATTGGATCAAAATGGAAAACTAATGTTGAAGGATCTATGTACCTCTCAGAGGTGACTGCATGCACACAGTGTGCATGTGGTTCCCTGTGCCTTAGGTGTGGGGTGTGTGTGTGTGTGTGTGTGTGTGTGTGTGTGTGTGTTTCTATTTTGTTTTATTACACATACATGTAATTCAGGTGTCTGTAGGTAACAAGAGTTCAGACAAAGGGAAGAAGAGACCACAGGGCAGTGTACTTCTCTTTACATGTACTGCTTCAAAAACCAAATTCATATGAGCTAAGTAGCTCTCAGAAATTGCTTTGTACACACAGTATTGAGTCTCTTTTCAGACACTGCTCCAGGGATCTTAAATCATATCCACACAGCCATTATTCAGTCTTTCCACTGAGAAGTTTTTTTTCCCCAAGCTGTACAAGTCGTCCCTGAATACCATAGTGACATTACTTCAAGGTCAGTTTTATACATTTTGCCATCATTGCTGTGTACTGGATAAGCAGTAGGGACCTTCTCCATCAGAGCCCAATCTCCTACACACTGGATAACTAGGCATAGGGCAACAATGGAGATTGTAAAAAATTCAGAGTACATCTGCACTGAGTAAAATTTCTACTTTGGTAGTGGCATACTCCTAAATACTTCACATAAGTGCTAAGGTATTCAGTTTGTCCTTGTTCATAAAGTCATATACCAATACCCTTACTATAGTGCAGTAGAGATTCACCAATAAATGTAACAACAAAGTACCTGTGATATAGCACTAATTAATACATACTAATTAATATCATTTCTATGGCTGTTCTGATAAAGCTTTCTTCATCCCTGCTTGATGAAAATTTCAGTTTGATGATGAAATAGAAATAAAAGTACTTTAATGTCCAGTAAATATCAATGCTTCCATGAATTTTCCTTTAATCCTTTAAGTAAACATTATGTATATTTCCTCCAAGTATCTGTGGTTAAGGTAAATAACTTACAGTTTTTTTGTTTTTTGTTTTGGTTTTCGGAGACAGGGTTTCTCTGTGGCTTTGGAGGCTGTTCTGGAACTAGCTCTTGTAGACCAGGCTGGTCTTGAACTTTCAGAGATCCACCTGCCTCTGCCTCCCGAGTGCTGAGATTAAAGGCATGCGCCACCACTGCTCGGTAACTTACAATTTCTGTGTCATTTGTTACAGTCCTTTTCACACATGCCTTGTCTCTCATAAAAGTCTGAACATTCCTTGAGGGTAGGCACTGTGCCTTAGTCATCACTCAGAGTTACACATTTATAGCAATTGTTCAGTAAATGATTAAGGAACACACATATATATGATATATATATCGTATATATCTACACATTTATAGCAATTGTTCAGTAAATGATTAAGGAACACACATATATGATATATATATCGTATATATATCATATATGCGATTGTCTTTCCTTGGTACATTAGGCTACTTCTGTTTCTTATAGATATATAGAATTGCATGTCTTCCAAAATGCATAGAATAGCTGTATGTATTCAATTGACACATGCATGTTGGCATATGGCAGACTGAAAACTCTACTTAAAGTGATGTTACTGTATAAACCCATAAAGAGGGAACAAAAATCAAGAAAGAGAGAAGGGAGTGTTAGTTTTAACATTTATGAAAAATTTGTGTTATTTCCAGTCCTGATAGCAACAGTGTGACAGCAAATATATGGCTGGTGTTCAAGGATCCCAGATCAAACAGGGAAAACATAAGAAGGAGAATCGAAAGCATTTTACATCAGATGCTGGAGAACCAATCAGGATCCCTGATTACAGATCCCAGGTCTTTGAAGCTCATGGGTAAGCTTACCTATTGGATAAGAGCAGTGTCACTGTATTGTATTGTGCCCAGGACATGTCATAAACATCAACTACAAAGCTGATCTTTAGTATATTTTAAACAAATGTCACCTTAGATCAGAGCATTCATCTCCTAGCAATGCTACAATTGCAGTTGCTTAGAGCAAGGAAGGATAGCTTCTCATTTGACAGTAGATACTGATAGACTTAGCAAACATTTTATGTGATGGTGTGTTTTATTTTTATTTTCTTGATGTATAAAAATTAACATTAGATCTGCACCTCTATTACTTTCTCTTTTTAGAAGTTGTATTTATATACTGACATGAATCATATTCGCTTATGGAACTTATTCTTTTTTCAAGAGAAGATAGTCCCACTTTTTGACATTGGATGATGTAGAATATAGATGCAGTTAATGAAAATGTAATTTCTCAAGTGGAATTTTGAAGATGGTACTTGAATATAATGTGTTCAATTGTAACCAAAGAAAAATTCTCATAAGCTAATTATTTAACTTCTATGATACTTTGTTCTGGATGTCAAATTACTGTTGGACCTCTCTGGTCTGTGGAAAATGCTGTCTCCATTGACCAGCTTAAATTTACTGTGAACTTTTTGCTCTATTTCAGAAATCAGTAAGGTTGATGCTAAAAAGATTATCAACAACCGTAAGTTCAAACCCTTTCCAGTTAAGTACGAGCTAATCTAAACCACAACAGTCAAAATTATTACAACAGGATGAAGAAGTATTTTACATGTAGTAATAACTCACTCAATCTGCAGAACACTCCTACAGTGGAGTATTATTACAGTTGTATCTTAAGAGATGATACTATTGAAACAAGAAGATTGCCTGGATTCATCCAGCTTGTAAATGAAAGGGCCAAGATTCCAATTCAGGGAGTTCATTGGCAGAGCCCATAAGTTAATCGAGAGTTTGCATTCCACAACTTATATATTCTCTGAAGGTTAAAGTTTCTATGCGAGACTCCTGGGGCTGCTGGTGATTTCTGTATGGTTGATTCTATTCATGTCCAGTGCTGATGGTGACAGTATCACATGTAAACAAACCAGAACAGCTGAAAACCCAGTTCACCTTATGCAACTGTGATCAAATTAATATCTTTCTATCTTCACCAAAACCAAACCAACCCATTCTGAAGGTTGCGGGAGACGACCAAGGATGTCAGCAACCTATGACAGAATTAAGGGAGGATCCACTGCTCAGAAAGGAGAATGGCCATGGCAAGCGAGTCTTAGAGTGAATGGCAAACACTACTGTGGAGCATCACTAATCGGTGCGAGATTCCTGCTGACAGCGGCTCACTGCTTTCAAAAGTAAGTTCATCATGTTCTCCAAGGTTTGGGAAACACAAGGAGCTAGGCAGCCCTTATCTTAGGCAAATTGTCTTCCATCCTCATGGGTGTCGGGTTTGAAAAACAGATTGCAGCTAAGCCTAACTCAGTCTTTTCAACTTTAACCAGTAAAAATAGGAAGAATCATTACATCTTTACTGATTTTTTATGCCGTTCATTTATATATACTTTCTTTTCTTACACGAGTCTTAACTGCTCATCACTTTATACTTCAGATCCTAAGCACCCATAGTTACTACAATATCACATCATATCTCTTCTCTCCTTCTAACTCATAGCTACCCAAGTCTTTTGGTCACTTAAGCAAATATGATTCAGTCTAAAATTCTGTTTTCTCTAAAAGTCAAAATTCCTTTCCTCTTAAGCATGCAGATTTATGTTCCTCTGTTTATTGGGCTCATTAATAATGTGCACAAATATTATGCATTTGTAATTACCCGTGTGTGTGTGCAACTTACATTAAATTTAAGCTTCTTTAAGGAAGAGATTCAAACAAGATGTTTTAAAAATGAATTTAAAAAATCAGATTTTATGGGGCTGGAGAAAGGAATTAGCATAAGAGCACTTGCTGAGGACTGTCACCCACACGGCCACTCCCAATTGTCCATAACTACAGTTGCAGGGGATCCAATACCCTCTGCTCAACTCCAAGGGATTGAGTATGCACTTGGTGCACAGACATACACATAAGCAAAATATTCATACACATGAAATAAATAAATCAGAAAAAATAAAAAAATCACCCTGCATCATTGCAGTGTGCTATAATGCAAGGAAATGTGATGTCATAAAAAATGGAAGATGTAAATTTTCTACTATATGCTATAAAATGCAGTATTTCTGTCATTTAAAAATAAATGCAAAAGTATGTTTTTGTTTGTTTGTTTGTTTCCCCAGGACAAATAATCCAAGAAACTTAACTATCAGCTTTGGCACTGAAGTAACTCCACCCTACATGCAACATTATGTTCAAGAAGTTATTATTCATGAAAACTATGTTAAGGGGGAACATCATGATGATATTGCAGTTGTTGTGCTCACTGAAAAAGTTTTATTCAACAAGGATGTACATCGTGTTTGTCTTCCAGAAGCCACACAGATTTTCCCACCAGGTGAAGGAGTCGTTGTTACAGGATGGGGAGCACTTTCACACAGCGGTGAGTCCAATGGCAGCACACAGTGTAAGATGTAAGGGCAGTGTGAGCATGCCGATATCTGAGCACAGAGTTTTAGGCAGTATTTTATCTCTGGATGCACAATCTCTTCAGGCCATTTCTTAGACTATTGCACAAGTCCTTACAGACTTCTTTGATTTGAAACAGTCAAAGTACACCAGTTAGGTGTAGAACTCTCTGTCCTGTAAAATAAAACTAATGGAACAGTTTCTGGAACAGTTTCTTATGTCAACGATGTAAGGGGAAAAATGGCAACACTTGAAAGGTGTTTCTAGTGACTATTTTGAACATTTATTTTTCATTAGTTAGAGAGAGGTGTGTGGACAGAAGTTTCTGTCCCGCCCATTCCAGCAACCATTAGTCTGAAATAAACACAAAGAGGCTTATATTAATTACAAACATTTTGATCAATGGCTCAGTCTTCTTATTGGCTAGCTCTCTCTTAATTATTAACTCATTTCTATTAATCTGTGTATCTCCATGTGGTCTTGGCTTACAGGTGATGCCCGGTCTCTTGCTTCCTCAGCAGCTACATGGTGTCTCCCTGACTCTGCCTACTACCTTTCTCTATCTCTGTTTGGATTTCCCACCTGGCTAAATTTTGCCTGTCCACTGACTGAAACAGCTTTATTCACCAAACAATAAGAGAGACATATATTTACAGCATATAAAAGGATATCCCCCAGCAGAGGTGTGTGTGTGTGTGTGTGTGTGTGTGTGTGTGTGTGTGTGTGTGTATGTGTATGTATGTATGTATCCTAAAAACAGGCAAGTGTCCTTCCATTTCTGGTCAGGTCCATGTCACCTGTTTTTTTAAAATAAAGATTAATTTTACAAAACAAAAATAACAAGAAAAGCCAAAACAAACAAACAAACACTTTGTTCCTATATCTTTGCCACTTCTCCATCACCTCTTCATTTTTATTTTTAGTGGCAATAGCAGCTACACACAGTATATCCTTTTCTCCAAATATCTTTGCTTGCTAATGTTCACAAATTACATAATTACCTACTACAGAAATACACAAAGATTCAAGAAGAGTCCCACAATTGTGCTTCTAATGAAATTCATTTTCATGATCTATTTACAGTGGCTCAAATTTAGCTAGTGACTATGACAAAAGAAAAAATTGTAAATTATATAATGGTCAAAATCTTGGTTTCTGTTCAGCATAATCCAAAAGATGTAGGTTAATTACTCACTCTTAGTAAACAACTTAAAGTATGTTTTAAATAAATGAATAAACAAATGAAGCAACCCTTTCCTGAACTGAACTAGTCTGTACAGGTTGTCTACTGTTATTGTAGCCTTTCCATGCACCTCCTGCCATTTTCATGAGATTCTTTTTTTTTTTTCTTGGCATCTGTTTTGCTGACCATTATGAACATGCTGATTTCCTTTAGGTAACTCCCCAATGTTACTTCAGAAAGCATCTGTTAAAATTATTGATACAAACACTTGTAATGCGGAAGAAGCTTACAATGGTAGGATAGTGGACACAATGCTCTGTGCTGGTTACATGGAAGGCAATATAGATGCTTGCCAGGTAAGTCTGGAAATTATTCATAAGGACGATATAATGTATAAAAAACGGTTATTATTCTGTGAAGATCTTCATTATGGAGATCATCTGTTCTTCATTTAGTTGTGCTTTGATAGTTCTGTTGGTTACCCTCTAATGTGATGATTTCCTACAGGTAGCACATGTTTATAAGTGTCCAATAAACACTGATGATAGATTTTCTCTGAGTTGAGTTCTGTCTTAGGTCCTTCACAAATATTAACTCATTTAATTCTCTCCATAACTGTATGGTGTAAGTAATTTATCTTAATTTCATAGATAAGGAAATGGAGGCAGAGCACCTTAAATATCTTATATTATCACATAGCTACTAGATTCTGGGTTGTCTCAAATCAGAGTGCATCCTCTTAACCATAGATCGGAAAAGGATAAGTCTCAGAGATATCTCACTATTGTTAGAACATCCCCAAATTTCTCTTATTGTCTTATCCCCATCATGGCTAGAGCACTGGTTATTTTTTTTCAGATATAAAACTTTGAATTTCAAGCTTACTCAAATGTATTTCCTAAGAACTTTCTCAAGAACTAGTTTGTAATTTCCCAAGTCATACTTTCAAATTCTTATACTCACAAAAGAGAAGCTGAGAATACATTTTGGTCAGTATGAACTGAGGTTAGGGGTGTATAGGGATTTATACCACATGCCTCTTGACAATCTTGATGAAGCATCAATAATTCGAGGCTTCATCTGGAACATCATTGTGTATACCTAAACTGCCTCAGATGAACCTGTCAAAGTGATAATGTTCTTTGCTTTATTTAGGGTGACTCTGGAGGACCACTAGTTCACCCCAATTCTCGAGATATTTGGTACCTTGTTGGGATAGTGAGTTGGGGACATGAATGCGGCCAAATCAACAAGCCAGGGGTCTATGTGAGAGTGACTTCTTACCGTGACTGGATTGCCTCCAAGACTGGTATCTAGTAGAAAATCATCCTCTGGTACTGAATGCAGATCATTGTTGCCTAGTACTTCCAACTTTTATTTAACATCCATTTCTTTATTTTTCCATTTTGTGTGCATGTATGTTTGCATGTGCATGGGTACATGTGTGTCTGTGCTCATGCATTTATGTGTGCATGCATACAGACACTGAAGTTGATGTTAAGAGCCATCCTCAATAATTTCACCTTATTCAATGAGACAGGTTCTTGGTCAAATCAAGAGCTCTCAGATATACTCTGTCTTACTAGTCAAGTTGCTTTTGGGACCCCTGCCTCTGTCTTCTAAGGATGGAAGCACAGATAGGCTTCTATGCCCACCAGGTATTTATGTGCATTATTGGGTTCCCAATTTCTGTCCTTAGACTTGATGGAAAGCGCTTAATCACACAGCAAACCCTCAGCTCTCTTTAAAACATTATTATTTTATGTTTATGGGTGTTTTCCTGCACCAAATACATGCCTAGAGGTCAGAAGAGGGTGCTGTATCCTCCAGGACTGGAGTTACAGAGTTTTGTGAGCCACCCTGTGGGTACAGGGAATTGCACCCAGGTCATCTAGAAGAGCAGCCAGGGCTCTTAACTGTGGAGCCACTACCATCTACTACTTTCCATGCTCTTTAAATGTGTATAATGGCTATTTTGAAACAATTATAGCCCTAAGGGAATATTTGTAAATTTTTAAGAAAACAGAGCAAAACAAGAAAAGAAATCTTGAGTTCCTTGATCTGGGAAGCTGTTAGTCAAAAAAAGTACTCCCACCAAAATGCTGTTAAACCACTCTCTGTGTCCTGGTTTTTCAGCCTACATTATCACTATTTCACCATAACATAAGGCTCTTGGGTTTTATCATGTAGACTTTGTAGAACTATGAAAGCATATCTTTGACTAGTGATTTATCAGACTAAATAATGAGAGACCAGAGCCTCCCAAAGATCAGGTTGCAACCTGCTATATCTACTTTCATGTCAGAGCTTTGTGGAAAGTTGTGGTTGTGACCTTACCTAGTCTTAAAGGAGATATTGAATTACAACCTCTTTTTACTGAGCCATTTACCCATATCTGCAATAATCATGAGTTTCTCACCACCAATAAAACCAGGGAGAAAAGCACATTTTAAGTTACAGATAATAACTACAGTAATTATTTAGAATAAAGATTTCTGGGGAAATTCTCTATGTGTAATATATTTTTAAACTATCCAAAATAAATAAAAATGTATGTTGTATCCTAATTCAAGCAAAGGAAGACCTTTTTGTTCATTAACAGTTCACTTGATTGTGTGTTTACTTAGCAGTTCTACTATTAAGTAGACTAGTTTTTCTTTCCCCTTGTGAGAGTGAGGAAGGACAGTGTTTCTAGTCCCACTTAAAAGTGAGCACACTAGCCTAGGTGGGATTCCTTCAGCCTGCGGGGCTTGGTAATGGGGTCACTCATCTTCCTGATGAATTTCAGCTCCTTATTGATCTACAAAGTGATTCTTCAAGAAGCTGCAGAGATGGGTGTCAAAGCCTTAAAGCCCAGGACATACAGACATCAAATCTTGCTTCAGGCTCATCTCCAGAGCTGCTGGTCCCTGGAGCGCTACAATTTCCATTGGGATTAGTCTGGTTTGACATTCTCAATATATTCCAGGCATTTGAGTATTTCTTAGCCAATTCAAGAGAGTACCCATGATTTCCAGTGCCCACCATCCAGGTGGAGATAAGAAACTAGAGAAAATGAGTAAGAAAGGCCTGTAGATGTTGATGAAATAATGTGCCTGACTTGAGAGCCTACAGCTTGTCAGCAACAAAGAGCCAACCAAATACAATGGTATTGGTTAGTTTTGGAAGAGGGATGAGAGGAAGACTAAGATGTTTCTGGAAGCAGAAGTAGGGCCAGAGGGGAATATAGATAGGCATGTTGTGTCTCTAGGAAGATGTTTTATAAGCTAAAATATTTAACCCAGTCATATGCTTCCACAGTTCCCAGAAATGAGCACAGAACATTATTTATGAGGCACGAGTATCTCTAAGTCAAGTGACTTCAATCTAGTAATTCTTCTTGATAAAGAAAATTCTTAATCAGCATTTTCTGAAACCTTCATTTATTGACTTCATAAGTCCTTATAAGACTTTAAATTTTTACTTAAGATTCAGTGACTTAGACTGGATTTAGAAGAGAAAAGCATTTTCTCTTCTTCTTCCTTCCTTCCTTCCTTCCTTCCTTCCTTCCTTCCTTCCTTTAATCTGTCTTTCTTTCTCTCTTTCTTTTTAAAATACTGTCTAAGCAAGTGCTTTCCATTGTGCTTGTATGTTCCTCATCCTGTAGTAGAAAATATTTTATTGATGTTTCTTCTATCATAAATAGTGGTTTTATGAATGTGCATATCATGTCCAGACAAACAATAAATTAACAATTTTAAGCTAATGTATTTTGGTACAGAGATTTCAGGCATATGCCATTACACCCAGGTTATAAATTTACTTGTAAGTGGTGTTTTTGGTTCTCTTATGTTACATACAATTCCAGTTTCTTAAACTGTTCAGAGCTCTTAAAGTAGCTTTGACATATTAAATTCCAATTAATTATCTTGATATTTAATCTATGTCACAACTATTATCACATCATATTATTCATTATCAAAGTTAAACAACAATGTTTAACAACTACTGAGTTCTTTCGGTTTCTAAAGACCCTATCTCAGTTAATGCTGTCTATTCTGTAAAGGTAGTCATTGCCCTAACTTTACAGATAAAGAATCTGAAACACAAAATGGTTAACAACCTTCCCCAAAGGTACAAAATAATTCCCATCCTGTCATATGTCAACCAGTAGCAGAAGTCATAGTAAAGAAGCAGCTCTGACCAGAAATTTGAGCAGTTCATACCTTTTGTGTATTTGTTTTGGTCTGATTTTATTTTTGTTTGTTTGCATACTTGATTTTTTTAAAGAGTGAAAATTCCTTATATAGAAGCATCACAGCTAGGTGTTGGTGGCGCACGCCTTTAATCCCAGCACTCGGGAGGCAGAGGAAGATGGATCTCTGTGAGTTCGAGGCCAGCCTGGTCTCCAGAGCGAGTGCCAGGATAGGCTCCAAAGCTACACAGAGAAACCCTGTCTTGAAAAACCAAAAAAAAAAAAAAAAGAAGTATTACTTCTTCCTGTACTTTCTTTGCCCACTTTAGTAAAATATAATAGACACTGATCATTGTACCACAGTGAAATCCATTTCAGACTTCTTCTAGTAATAGATACTGATCATTGTACTAATAATGATTAGCAATAATTAATATTCTCAAGAAATCCATCTTCTCTGATCTTTCAGGTTCCTACCACTCCTCCCACAAAAAAGAAATCCATATTGGAAAATGACACCAACACCACTTTTCCAATACACATGTGTATTTGTAAAACATTGTATCTTTCTCACTTGAGCCCAAATAGAAAAGCCTCATGTCTGTAGAAGACAGTCTTAAATTAGTTGCTGTAGGAAGAGCTAGCCCACTGTGGGTAGAACCATCCTCTCATCAGTGGATCATGAACTATGTAATGAATGAACACAAGGAGCACAGGCAATCAAATTAGCATGTACTTATTCATTTCTCTGTGTTCTTGGCTGTGGATATGAAATGAATAGCTGTTTGAAGTTCCTGCCTGACTTTCCCATAATCCTTCACTGAGACTCTGTTCCCAGAGAATCCTTGGTTATGTTTAATTAAGTTAATGACTAAAGGTAACCATCACACTGTTGTTCTGAAATGTTATATTTTCAGAATATGTTAATACATTCAAAACTGTTGATAATCTTAAGGAGCTTTTAAAAAACATTTCTTTTAAGTTAAAAACCCTATCTGTTGATAGTAAACTGAATATTAGAACTTAAAACACTTAAAAGTTAACTTAAACAGGACTGAGAAATACCACAGAAATTATGGATATTTGAAAAGTCACATTTCTCAGGTCTAACCTAGTTCCTTAGAACAAATCCCTGGTACTAATTTCATATTTCAAGGGTGGAAAGAACAAAATTTATCCACACAACAAGCAGTAGGGAGCTCTGAGAATCTGCCAAGATGATGTCGCAAGAGTCACAGTGCATTTCCAGAACAAAGATGCCTTAAATAGAGTTCACTGTGGTTGAATGATCAGTGTCTAATCTTGGAAAGCTCAGTATTTTACTAAAGTGAGTATAAAAGAGAAGGAAGAAGTAATACGTCAAAAGGAGAATTTACAGCTACTTTGATATATGTGCCATTATTACAATAGAAAAAAGAGCTCCACAACTTTTCTCCATAGCATGCCTCTTCTGTATAAAAATGTGAATTAGATTAGCAGGGAAGGTAGGAAACAAGAGTTCAATTTTTATGGAGTTTATCCTAGTAATGTTATTATTAATGATTTTACTTTCTCCAGCCTGTCATATTTTCCATAATGAGAATGGTTACTTTATAACACAAGACTTTCTTATACATGATATGAGTAAATGGCACACTTCATAAGCTACAGTTTAGGTAGTAAGAACTATTTCTGAAGACGACGAATATATCTCATCCACACTGACTGGGTCATGTGGATGGAATCAAATCTGAAACAGGTTTGAACTTTTTTGTACCAAACAATCTGGGAGAAGCTCTATTATTCCACAGTAACAAAGAAATGAAAGGCTGTAAGAGTGCCTCTTTAAAAGTTAGCATATGACAGATTTGTTAGTTATTCTTGCTTTCCACACATGTGATTGGTATTAACTGAATTTTTAAAAACTAGATTACATTTTAAATTCTAAAGCTAAGTAATAATGAACGTGTTAGCCTGGATTATTTTTCTACAAGGACATTCTCACATCTGTTTACACGTTAAGTCTTTAATCATTATTCTGGCTTTAGGCTTCAGTCATCAGGCTTCTGTATTTATCTTGTACAAGCAGAACACACCCAAGTCTCATCATTTCCTACAGCAGAGGGCACTGCAACCCAAGTATCAGGATTTAGGTTTTCCCTAGGAATGTCATCTTGGAAACTGTGATAATGAAGAGAAGTCACACCAAGGAGCTGAATAGCCAAAGTGAAAATTTTGTTTCTGATCTCCATTTCTTTAACAGGAACTGTGGACCAAAATCTTTTTATGAACAATCATATCAGTTTTACTCAAAGTCTGTCTTTTATTAAAGATATTTCTATCCTCCCGTGCCCCCCGCCACTGTGCCGAGTTCTGTCATAAATAGCGCATCAGAATAAAAGTGTCTTTGAACTTGTATCCTTTTAAAATTTATTTATTTATTTATTTACTTCTTTTATGTGCATGGTGTTCTGCCTGCATTTATGCCTGCATGTCACATGTATTCCAGTGACCTCAGAGGTCAGAAGAAAACATCAGATTTCCCATGGAGTTCCAAATGGCTATGAGCTGTCAGGAATTGAACTCAGATCCTCTGAAAGAGCAGAAAGTACTCTAACCTCTGAGCCATTCAATTGTATTCTAATATCTAATTCCTTGAAGAGCACAGGCTTAAGTTAAATATTTTCAAAGGTTTATACACACATGAGGATTTTTTTTCCAATAGGGGAGCTGTAGAAATGCTGTTCCCATTCCGTATTTCCCAGGTTAAATCAAAACAATGAACAACAAAACCCTAGAGAAGTATAGTGCTTCGAAAAGTACCATAAGAAGAATATATTGAGAATTCCACTTTGTCAGCCATCACAGACTTCTTTTTGATTTTCTTTTAGTTTTCCAAGACAGGGTTTCTCTGTGGTTTTGGAGGTTGTCCTGGAACTCGCTCCATAGACCAGGCTGGCCTCGAATTCACAGAGATCTGCCTGCCTCTGCCTCACGACTGCTGGGATTAAAGGTATGTGCCACCAATGCCTGGCTTCTTCTTGATTTTTAAAAATGGGGTTTTCAGATTGTGTCATGTATAAAAGTAAATTTAGAAACAAAAGAACCTGACTTGAAAAAGGAGCTTTAACTATTTTGTTTTGTCGTCTTCCACTGCTAAATATTGAGTAAAAACTCAAGTAGTACCCTAAAATTGTTACTACGTTTATTCAGAGAGGGAGAGAGAAAGAGAGAGGGACAGAGAGAGAGAGAGACAACCCTAAAATTGTTACTACGTTTATTCAGAGAGGGAGAGAGAAAGAGAGAGAGGGACAGAGAGAGAGAGAGACAAAGAGAGAGAGAGAGAGAACATGCATACTAGAGGACAGAATTGGTTCTCTTGTGTACAAATAGCCAAACACATACACATAAAACAATAAATCAAAAAAA